GTCCCAGCTTCCGTGCCCGTGTTTGAACCAAGGGGCGGTCTACAGACAGCCCACATCCCTCTTGCGCGGCGTCCTCGTTAAGTCCATTTACTTCTTCTATATTACTTCCTACGAATACTATCTCTTGAATGAGACTGAGTAGAGAATGTCGTCTTTGCGGAACTTTCCTTGTCTGAGGATTAGAAAAAGAAATCCGGCGCAGTGCGGTTGAGGGGGGGGGCATTTTACAGTCCCATTGCTTCACAAGAGAATAGAACGTAAAAGCTAGTAAAACTAGTGTGATTAAAAATACGGGGGATCTCCAGTGCTTCACAAGAGTCGACAGGTCTCCTTTACAAGAACTGACAAGCAGCTGCAAACTTTTCCTGGTAGCTCTTCTTGGAGAATTTCTCCTATCTCTGCTCGATGTCTCGACGCGACAATGGGAAACAGCGAACGTGCTATATGTACACACTCCCCCCTAGCCGAACTGGGCGGGAAAGATTTCTTGTCAGTTCCTCCCCATCGGGCGGACTTTGCGCAAGTGAAACTATCCACAATAGTCTACATCTGTAGACTATTGTGGATAGTTTCACTTGCGCTTTCTACCTGATCTTACTTTTACAAGACTAAAGAGAAATGAGCTCAGTGAGCTTGGAATGGGTGTCCAGCTTGTTGACTGCTTTGAACTTTTTGAGATCTAATAGGCTTGGAGGGGGGGGGATCAATGTTTCTTATTCTTTGTCTGTTTGTCTTTTTACAGTCGTGTCTCATCCTGCAAGTGCTGTAAACTTTTGCCATGGGCTTGTAAATTCGAGATTTTGACCAGAAATTTTACATGTTTGGGAGGAGTTTGCGTAGTGCTTGGCAGGTGACAAGGCTTGCATGGTGCTGGAAAAGTTATCCGGTGTTCATCGGATTTAGTATGCTGTCAAGCACTACAAGTTTGCTCTCCCTCGAGGATTATTAGCGCGCATTTTCACAACCTTCACTGCATTTGCGATTAAATCAATGAATATTTTCAACATTTAACCCATCATTTTCCCGTTACACAGTTTCCATTATCGATTTGAACTGCACCATTGGGTGTATTTGTCCTCCCACTCTTTTCGAGACTTATTCCTGGCGACGTTTACGATCTGTCGTTCTTTCATCGCACCCGCTGCACACATGTGAAACCAGTCAACTCATTTCGTTTCAGATGTCATTTGACGAGCTTTATGAGAGCTGTTTCCGAAACGCATCACTTGTGAGGGTCCCGCAGGGAAAACCGGTACGGTCTTTCATCCCAGTGTTTTATTCTAATTTGCTCACTTGAAACTTCAATGTTCAGACTAAGGATGACGCATCATATTTGGTGACCCTCGATCATGTGATGAACACCAGCCAATATGTGGTGTTCTTTCTTACAGCTGGGGCTAAAGGTGCTGACATGAGCTTGAAACTTGACAACATGATCCGTAAAAAGAATGAAAAAGGCGACAAGGACAAGGTTCAAAAGTAAGTTGCTTCTTCCGTTCGTTCTAGCCCATCTGGCGCTGTTCCGCTACGGGAAGCATTTTGCACTTTTGTTAGTTCCTTTTAGTTAATCCATCTTAATTAACAGGTTACACCTTGATAGACCTGTAAATTCCTGTGAAACTACGAAATGGTACAAGTGAGCCATTTGGGTTACACGAATTTACAGGTCTTCACAAGGTGACTTGTACAAGCTCGGCTGTGTGCCATTTTGCCCCCACCAAACCGAACTGCGCCGCCTATCCTTTATGTCATAACTGTAAGTGCAGCATGATTAGCTCTGACCAGGAAAGTCCGCTATAGGCTCTGTCGATCTACCCAGGTCTCCATTCAAGGTTCCATGGCAAGTTGGCGGACTCCCCTAAAGCGCTAACCTGGTCGCCGAAAAAACGTTTTTTTCGCGCAAATGTTTCAAGTTTTCGGGGGGCGAGTGTAGTTGGAGGCCGTGACGAAACTATGGCACAACATGCCTTGTCGGCGCTCACTTAAGGCTACGGTCGTAAACAAGGCATGGTATGGCTTCGAAAAAACGTGAAACAAGAAAAAGTTGACATGGAATGACATGCCCTAGTTGCGCCGTCGCGTCCTCCCCCTCCCCACTATATTTGCCCTTGAAACTGTCTACAGACGTTTCCTGGCAGAGGGAGGAATGAGAGGAGAGGAGGAAGTTTGTTCTAGTTTTTGGAAATTAATGTGTTACCTATTTTGTATTAAATTCAACCATTTCGCGCATCTAGAATTGTAAAGCCTCCCCCTCTCCCAATGATCGTAGCTACCGTATTCTTCCAAGTAGATCTCATAAATATTCATCTCTGCATTTAAAATTTAGAAAGTCCATATATAATGAAGGAGGAGTTCTTAAAATGCAGAAGGATGAAAAGGGCATTCGTGGTAGTTTCACGTTTTCAAGATTTTATGCCACTCTGGGGGCGGGGGAGGGGATCTGCTCCAGTTCTCCGAACTCGATCGCTGTTGTCACCATGCCATCAACAGGGGATACAAAACGGCTGCAGGAAGAGAAGGGAGTGTGCGCCGTTGTAGTGAAAAATCACGTCCGGGCTTCTCAGGAGTATCACAGGCGGTCGCCATGGGAGCACCCAGGCAACTGGTTTGGCAACTGGTCCAGATCGGTGACGCTTCTCGATTCGAACTCGTTCTTGTTGATAATCGGTGTTGGTTCCGTGATAGGATCTTTCCATTCAGGGTCGTGAGTAAGGTACGCTATGGCGGTGGGGGAATTTTTCTCTCAATATGGCCCTATAAGAGAAATAGTAATATTGCCGTGCCTTCAGACGGAGGGGGGTGTATAGCGAGCGTGTCCAAGCCAGATTAGGATATTCCTTGCGATGAGCATTGCCCACCATACGACGTACCCTGGTTATGGGTAATTTGAGTAGCTGGATAGTGTTTAAACCTACAGCAACTCCTTTGCGGCCTTATCTGGGCAACTGCTGCACGTTCTAAGAAACAAGGTCAAGTACTTGTATAGACGCCATACTTGGAGCTTTGATGAGATTGTTGAGGTTCAGTCAAGTTCTTCATCGCGCAGCAGGCCTTCCCAGAACCTAGGGTAGCATCGGAGCTGATTGTTAGTAATAAAGACTGAAATCTCAACACCCTTCTCAAGGGTTTTTTGCTGTTGCCATTTGGTTTACCACTAGGACTAATACTGGTAAGCCTCGTGTTGCCCAACTATTTAGCCTCCTATCCAAAAATCTGCTTTCGGGCCAGGAGGGGGATAGCGTCGACGCCTGATACGCGAAAAGTCGACAGAGTCCTTCCTCGCCCCCCCCCACCAAAACACAACCTTCACGTAAAGCTGTAAGCTGGGACCTGGTATTCGAATAATTCAACTAACCATAAGAATTTTATGTTTATGTAATACTAGTTTTTTTAGTGCCAAGACGAATAACTGAATATTAAAGTAGTTGAAAAGTTGTAACAAATTCAAGCCCGCGTGATAGAAAACTTCAAATTCCAGAAGGGGCGCAGTTCCAAAGCCGAAGCTTCAGGCACACTTCGGCTTCGTGGGGGCACCGAATGGTGTCCAGATAAGCTTGTGCAGGTCATCCAGGTAAGCTTGTGCAGGTCACACTGTTAAGACCTGTAAGTTCCTGTGACCAGCGTGACTCACTGGCGCCATTTGGCAGCTTCGCAAATGTTTGCAGGTCTCTCCAAAGTCAAAACCGTTACTTAACATGAACTAGCAAAAAGAATTGGCGAAAAGTGCAAAATGTCCCCTTCAACCGAACAGCGTTTAACTTTGGATTACTGTAAAAAGAAAAATTGGTATGTTATTCGTTCTGAAGGCGCGAATGAATGATTCCCGACAGGTGACGCGGCGACTGTCGATGATCAAAGGAGAATGCGAATCGAACAGATGTAGCTGGATCAGATTACGTGTTACAGTATCCTTTTGGCTTGTGGTCAGCGCGGTGTGTACCTTGTGAAAAACTTGGAAGGAATGAGCTTTATGCAGAGTCATCGAGCAGAGAGTTGATTTCTAGTGGGTCGACCAGGCTTATCGCGTGAGTAACAGGGGCGGCAGCGAAGGACCAGGACTAACTGTTGCGGGTATACTCGATGCACCTGACTCATCTACAGATGGTTAGAGCAGGGGAGCATCGCTATTTTTCGCATTTTTTGGGAGTTTTGTATTTTTTTTTTTTTAGCATTTTATTTTTTTTTGGCTTGAGTTTTTGTGTGGTGTCGACTGTAGGGAATTGTTTTTTTTTTTTGATTTTTTTGATTTTTTTTTTTTTTTTTTTTTGCGGGGTTGATTTTTTTTTTTTTTATTGCGCGGTCCGGCATTTTTCCGCATTTTTTTAGCGGATTTTTTTTTTTTTTTCTATTTTTTGGGGGTTCACAAGAAATGGGGGGGGTCGTACTCACACCGACATTTCGCAGTTGCGCTTTCATCTGCAAAGCGGTCATCTTAGTGTTCAGCCCTATGCTTTTCGAATTCATGGCGAGTCACTCTGGCCCCGAGAAAGCCAGATATGACTGCCTCCCTCCAACTGAGGGCCAGTTGATCCTTCTTTTTGTCGAGCACTCTCCAACTACACCATACCCGGAGTTTATAGATGAACTGAAAGGGTTCAGGAAAGGTGTTCATAATATTCAAGAGCTGAAAGTGGATGATAAGGCAGTGTTGCCGCTGATAAGTTCCCCAAAAGTCCGCATTGGATCCTGGACAAGAAACCATGCCGTAATCCATGTTTCAGGTACATTCTCATTGGGTCAGGCTCGCTTGTGGCACAGGTGTTTTAGTCACTGGGCCAGCTCGGGACTGAATCTTTGCAATCTCCCAATTAGCTATCTTCCTAAGCATATCTCTCCCATGTATCGCTGACTGTCCAAACATTCCCTTTTCAAAGTGAATTAAAAAAAACTGTGAAAAAATTGAAAAACTGTTGACCCGGGTCCTCCTCATAGCTCTTTTGCAACTCTTTGTTTGGCGATCTGAGGTCTTTGATGGTAGTGGAGTGTTTTAGTGAGAGTCGATGATGAGCGACAGCGACGGCGTCATGCGGCGAACTGATCAAAGTGTGCCGCCGACGAATGATGGATTCACTGTCGCTGATCTCACCAAGCGATAGTGAGCACTCGCCAGTCCGTCCCGTAACACCCGCCCGAAACTTTCGTGGTTTCGAGTTGATCGAGTGTTATCGAGGTAGTGAGCATAGCAAAGGGAATCTCGCTTTCACTGCCAGTGAATGCCTCCTGGTGGATAATTCGGGAGAAGTTGAAATTGCTTGTGGTGGAAATTTCACGTTAAAAAGGAGGAATGAATGAGAATAATCAGCCGAATTCAGCCAAAACTCTATAATGACATAGTGGTTCGGCTTGAGGTATAGTATCAATCCGTTTTCGGGGTGCGCGATGTTTTCCACTTCCATCTAGAATCGTAGTGGCTTCTGAGTCAGATTTCTGGTCCGGTACTGCGGACCGTGGAAGGGAGGAGGACTTGTCCCGGCGGAAATAATCCGAGATTTGACCCTTAGATCGCTTGCGTGCCAGCTGCAGCGCCAAGGCACGTCGTACATTGGGCATTCCCAACTTACGACGTTCCCGGCTGCAAGTGTTTTGTGCGGAGAATCAACTGATTTTGATTTTTTCCGTTTCACACACCCTAGGTACTTCCTATAGCCCGTGCTCTGCAGACACTACTTATCTTATCATGTTGATCGAAGGTGTTAACCTTGTCCTCCCCCCTCCGCTCAACATTTTTGAGTGCATTGTAAGATGACCATGTACCATATTTCCATGTAAAAAAAATTTCAGCTCACCGGCTCGTATACGACGTTTCTTCACAATGAAAAAGAAGAAGAAGAAGGAAAGCAATGGCAGTGGTGATTCAACGTTGATTTCGGTCGTTCTTGTCGACACCGACTATCGTTCTAACTCTGAGGAAGGCGCTTCGTCACAGCTCGCTCAGCCGGGCTGGTATGTATACGCGCCACAGCTGCTTGGCTACAAAGGTGAGAGTAAGGAAAAAGTTGGGTTAGTCCAGATGTTCACTTTTGCCTCTGTATAAGCGATAAAACTCAACGTTTGGGAGTTCCCATGGTATGGCTTATCTCACATCAGGAACTGGTCTACTGTAGAGGTCAGGTCAGATGGTTATGCAATGCAAGTTTTTAGTCATTAACGCGTTAGTCGAGAGGTGAACTTTTCCGCCCATCTGGGGTGCAGGTTTGAAGCATGATGAGGCCTCTTTTTGTTCACTCAAAAATTGCGTGTAGAGACGCCAGCGGTCTTGTGGCAATGTCCGACGCTCAACCCACGCTCTTTCTCCCCCCCCGTACCCCCGCACCACTTCGGCACGATGCTAAGTGGACCTTGGTGGAGTTGACGGACCTACTAAGATGGTATCCGAGAGCCGCTCTTCTCTCCTCTCGCGACTTGCGGTGTGGTGGGCCACTGCTCTGCACCACCAAGTGTTCCACTGCCTCCTCGTTGCCGCTCCCTTCCCCCGCTTATTCCGCTCAATCCATTGTCTACAACTTATTTCCATGTGCTGCTTTGTTTTATCATTTGTTCATTAATTGCATGCTGCCGCTTATCGGTCAATTTCAATAACTATGTTGTGTTTTGTGGCTTCTGCGTTTGCTAAACGCGATAATAAGATCATAATCAATAGATGCACGCCGTCGCGGCACGCCCATTCTTCTCCAGTTTCAGCCCAAAACCTGATTCCCATCATAACAACTATTTGACAATTATGTTACCTGATCATTTACAGAGTCGACTTCTACGAGCGTTAGGTTTCGAGTTTCCACCATCCTTAATCGTTGTTGATACGGCTTCACGGACTGTGGTGACAACAGAAGGACGTCGACTGTTGGCCGATGACGTTGAATGGAACGTCATTCCCATGGTCGGTTTCTAAAAAAAACGTTTACTGGAAATTACTTGCTGATTTTTGGTCCACTTTTCACGGTTTAATCCTTCAGTCGTGGTGGTCTAGATTGAAAATATCTGTACGGAACTTTTACCAACTTCAAGTTAATTCAGGTGGCCACCAGCTGCGCTGGAAGTACTAAGGGGAAACATTTTACGCCGAGTTAATGGTGTCGTAGAGACGTCAGACTTCTCAACTATTAAAACTACAGTCCGTGGACTTCTGTTCGGAGCACAGTGGGTGAGTTGTGGGATCCTCTTCCGAGTTACCTTTTCATTGCTGCTTCCTTTGCTTGAGACTTTTACAATGTTTCTTGCATGACAGTCTTGTTCGATGTGTACGCTTGTGCGTTCCATCAGGAGTGACTGGGTTTGGCACGACACCATCCTGTTCTTTACCAACTTTAGTCGCCTTTTCTTTTCCATAGTTGGTAGAGAGTAGGCAAAGCCGCGCCACACTCACCCCCCCCCCTCCTAGAACGCCCAAGCGCCCGCAGCGAACACGACTTTAGTTCTTTTTCCGGTCACGGGCAAATGTTCAAGGTTTCGGGCAAATTAGCTGCCACCCCTCTCTGAAGTATCCATTCCGGAACATGGGAGTCCTGGGTAAAAAAAACGGTCTCCTTCGTTTCTCACTAAAATAACATCACTGTTGTGATGCATCGAAACTACTGCAGAGCATATTCAATCGCGTTGGCGCTTGCCTCAGCCGACTTCATACTTTGCGACTTACGATTTAGTTCGCGCAATTTGTGAATCGCGCGACTGTAACCAACCTCGCACCGCAGTTT